GTGTGTTTAATAGTAAACACATTTTAAGACAAATTGAACATCACAGGTACGTGCATCATCATTCTGATTTTATGATACAGAATAATTGGTTTTCTACTGGAGAGTCCCAATGTAGGTTTGAGACTAGTTTTCTCCCAGGGTTCAGGTTAACCCCTTGATCCATTTTTGGACCAGCTAATAAGAGGCAAGGGTGTACTATGGTCAAGATAATACACTTTAAATTTAGACATAAATTTAAAACCCAGATCCAGCCATTTTTTTTCTGTTCTATAAAAACCAACAATAAAAGTAGCCATTAAAATAAAGAAAAAATGGCATTTGTGTATTTTGTAAAGCTATTTAACTAGCAGTTTCCTTATCTCTAAAATTGAACAGTGTTATTAGCTTTAAAAAGTCATTCAGAGGACCAGTGGGTGGTGTGTTGGCTAAGGTACAGGACTCCCACATGGCTGGCAGTGGTTGTAGTCCTGGGCCTGGGGGCTTGCTTTTTCACTTTCCCTCTGTCTCTCTCTCTCCTTCTCTGGTAAGTGCATGTGCCATATAGCAAATTAAAAAGTAATAATGATAATTAATAAAATTTTTAAAAGTCTAGTAGAACAATAAGATAGAATAAATCAAATTAAATATTTAACAAACACTTCTCCTATGTCATCCATCATAGTCAACAACTAATGAACACTTTGTTCATTAGTTGAACATATATGTAGACATATACATAGCATATGTGTAAATAATATAGATATACAAACATATTATATATATGTGTGTGTATATATAATATATAAAACATACTATTACATGGAAAATATACTCTTGCAATAGTATGTAATAGTATGGGTAACAGTATGTGTATGTATGTGTTTATTTATGCACACATGTATATACAACTATGTTTACATGTAAGTATATATATAATGTGTGTATTTATATATATTGTGGGTATATACTTAGGACTGGATTAGAATTAATGGATTGGCACAGGTTGTTTTTAATTTTTTAAAGTGTACTTTTGACTTTATTGTTTTGAAAAACATGACTTTTTTTTAGTTCTTCTAATAATTTTTCAAAGTCTACTTAGTTTAATATTATAATCACACCATTGTAAACTATTTTCCACACTTTTTCTTTCAAATTATATTTGTGCTCGTATTCCAAGTATATATTGTAAAAATGTAATTGGATCCTTTTTGATTCAAACTTAGTCAAAAGTAAGGACCAGCAGTTAGCATAATGACTATGTCACTGAACTCCCATGTAGCCAACTGCGGCTTGAGTCCTAGACCGGTGGCTTAAACTCACACCAGGCACATGTGTGTGCATGCCCAAGATCCCGAGAGGGGAATGGAGGAGAAGGGATTGCAGTGTGGCCATCCCCCCAGGGAGTGATTTCCAGCTTTCTATCTCTCTGTCTCTGTCTTTCTGGCAAGCACATGTGCCCTATAGCAAAAACCTCTCAAAAATAAATAAATAAATAAAAATAAAAAACAAATAAAATTTTAATCAAAAGTATATGTCCTTTAATTGGTTTAGTCAATTTGTAGTTAATCTAATTATCAATATCTTTCATTAACTTTTTCATCTTGAAATCTATTTCATGTTTTTTCCCCATTTCGTCCCCCTGCTTTTTCTTCAGTAAATTGTATATTTTTATTCTATATTAACATTTAGCTATATTTTTGTGTGGTTTTGTTGACTGCTTTAATGACTGAAGTATCATAAAGAAATCATGTTAGAACTTGAAATAAGGTATTGTAGTCAGGTACTGCATAATGACATTTTGGTCAACATTGTGGTCAACTGCATGTATGACAGTGTTCTCATAAGGAGCACACAGCCTGTACCTTATAACCTAGCTGTGTAGAAGGGGGACCAGTAGGTGGCATGGTGGTGAAGGTGCTGGACACTCCCGCATGGCCAACCACGGTTCAACCTTGGACCTGGCGACTTGCACTCTTACTTTCCGTCTTTCTCTCTCTGTGTCTCTGGTCAACTAAAAATAAATGAATGGGTAAATTAAATTAAATAAATAATTTTTAAAAGGCTATATCATCTGCATTTGTATAAGTATACTCTATGATGATCACACAATGACAAAACTTAGTAATGACCGGCGACCAGCAGTTAGCGTAATGGCTATGTGCAAAAATCTCTCTCTAATTTTATATATATATATATAATATATATAAAATTGCCAATGTGATAGTTCTATCTAGGTGTTACTAAAACAAGAAATGTTTGGATTACATCAAAACCTAAGGAAAAGATTGTTGGATTTGGCTGAATATAATTGCACATGTCTGTGTTCCAAAAAATCTTTGTAATTAACTGAAAGATAAGTGATCACATCAAGGAAAATAAAACAAACAATTTATAAACATTATATTTAGAAAGATCTTAGAAAAAGGATGCCTTTTATTTAAAATAAAAAAAGTGGAAGCATTAAAAAAAATATATCATTCTCCAAAGAAAATAAAATGGAAAATAGACATGTATACTATTGAAATGGCCCAGGCATAGTACTCACTACCAAGACTAAGACATAGTGTTCAGTAAGTAGGGTCCACATAGGAGACACAGGTTTGAGTCCCTAAAGGACCAGATATAGTGTAATATGCCTTTAGTCTCACCTCTGAGACAGGAGCATTATGTAACATAGCAAGACCCTGTCAAGAAGCACTCTCTCTCTCAAAGTAAATGAATAGAATAAATACAAATTTTAAATATGCTTAACATTTCAATTCATATATACTAATTATGGCTTTACTTACTTTGTAAAACATGGAAGGAAAGGGAACCTAATGTAATGATATTAAAAATAGATGTCTTAATGAAGCTTTGGTTTATTCATTGATGGGACTCAACACAGTCATTCAAAATTATTTTAAAGAAAATAGAACAGTATTGAAGAAAAACGTTATGTTATTAAAGAAAAAGTAAGTGAGAGGGGCTAGCAGGTGGTGTAGTTAAGACACTGGACTCCCACATGGCTGACTGTGTTTCAAGTCCTGGACCCAGTGGTTTGAAAATCGCACTAAGGGGGACCAGCGGTTAGCATAATGACTATGTTGCTGGAAGCATAATGACTATGTTGCTGGACTCCCACGTAGCCGACCACGGTTCGTGTCCCGGACCCAGTGGCTTAAAACTCATGCTGGGCATGTGCATGTGTGCCCAAGATCCCGAGAGAAGAATGGAGGAGAAGGGATTGTGGCGTGCACCCCCCCGGGGGGGGGGGTGATTTCTCGCTTTCTGTCTTTATGTCTCTCTTTGTCTGTCTGGCGAGCGCACGCGCCCTATAGCGAAAACCTCTCAAAAAAAAAAAAAATCACACTAGGTGCATGTATATGCATGCCTAAAATCTCAACAGGAGAATGGAGGAGAAGGGATTGTAGCATGGCCAAACCCCAGGAGTAATTTCTCATTTCCCCTCTCTGTCTCTGTCTCTGACAAAAGCAAGTTACAGGAATACAATAATTCAATTTTTTGTTAAGAGTATAAATATGTAAAATGAAAAAAAAAACTGGAAGGATATTTGTATATAGTCCTTATCAATAAATATGGTAGCTAAATTCCTGAGACGCTAACGAATGACAAAAGTGCAATTATATCAAGAGTTCGTGGGACATAAGGGCTTTACTGGAAACCAATAAACCGTACTATACTTAAAGCTTAGAGAGGATTCTACTACAAAATGAACGAGATCTCCAATATTAAACTATAACTGCTTTGGTAGTTAATCATATTCATATACATAATCAATTTGCCTTCCTCAATCTTCCATCGAAATATTATTTTTAGCCCTCACTATCTGCTAAAAGCAATGTGTTCCACAAATTTTATTTATGTCCATGCTTCCTCAGTTTGAATCTTCTAACCTCTATTAGTGTTTTGTTACCATTGAATCTATGTTTTCCCTTTGTTTTAACAAATTTCAGCAATTTCATACCATTCCCCTGCTCTTTGAAAAAAGGCAAAATTTTGAAGTTTTTAAAAATGTTTATGTCAAAGGAGTGGAGCTTTTTCTTTTTAATCTCACTTAAGATGATTGAACTGAATCCCATATATGTAAATAGGTTGTGGAATTTTAAATTTTTGCATAATATTGTTACAAAACAGTGTCATCTCAATACTTCAGTTGGCCAAAGTGGAGTTGGCAAGGGATTATTACACATCAAAATATAAATCATAATTATCTGGGCAGAATTACAAATGATTTTTTTCCTCCCACTGTAATTTTATGAAATTTTCCAAATTTCTCCAATAACATGTCACAATCAGAAAAAAAGATTGTTATATAGTAATAGATACATAGAGCTCTAGTTATTGGGTGGCTTGATCTAGAAATCATTTCAGGGGTGCACTAGCTGGCAGTAATTAAGTGGATTTTTTTCTGCACAAAGTAGAAAATACAGCATTGTCTACTGTCTTTTGGGGGCAATAGGAAGAGATAAATTTGTGTCTTCCAGCTCTGAAAATATCATATTTGTCTGGTTTCAGGAAGAAAAGTGTAATGAAATCATTTGGGAAGTCAATAGCAATAGCCCACATAGGTATGCCCAATTTCATGGTGCACTTAAAGCTTAGAAAAATTATTTAACCTGATGTTGGCTCAAATGAAGTTTGATGTATGAGTATGCCGATTCCCACTGAAATTGCCATTTTAAGAAATAGGAATAAAAACCCAAAAGGAAAAGAAAAAGAGAACATCCATTCCTTTGAAGCGAAATTGGATTTTCAGCATTTTGCAGTTTGAATTTCACATGAAGATGACCTTAAAAACAGTGACCATTAAAACAGTTGTTAGAAAAGCGTATTATTTATACGCCATGCACTTTTGAAATAGAGGTTACAGGAAGACATGATCGTACCGTACAGTGTAACCTACTTTGAAAGGTGTAGGCAGCATAGCAAAAAATGTCCTTACATCACACTTGTCAAGAAACAGAAGTTTTATTACCAGGGAATTTCACTTTTGCTGCTTATTCTTAACACTAGTCCAGGGACGGAGAGGATTTGTTGATCTAATATAGATAGCGATGTCTTGAGTTTGTTCAGATTTATATGGACAGCATCTGGGGATCAGGAATTACATTTAAAATGTAATAAAATGCTCCTGTGCACTTTAACTTACAAATACTATACTTAAAAAAGTAAACATCAAATAATCTCAGGTATCTTTCAAGAAAATGTTGACATAGCTCAAGGAGCTCACACAGATATCTTTGAATCATTTCTAAGTAAACTTAATAAACTCATTTTCGTATTCTATTGCTGTACAATAAACTATCATACCTGGGAGAAGAAGTGATACCAAAGGCAAAAGCTCTCGTTTGCTCCAAAATGTGTTTCCTAGTTTAAAAAATGATGCTTTGTCAAATTCTATCAGAAAAGTCCATTCAAACGAAAAGTAAGAATTTTTAAAGGACAATCTATTATCAAGAGTCTACCATAAAAACAGCAGTACTCATGCACAAAAGAGCAAAATTCCCCACATCGATCTCATATTATTTCCCTAAAGTGCTCATATCATCGGCAGAGGAACTATGAGATTCTATTAGCCCAGAACAAAAGGACTTTAAGGATTTAACATCTTACTTAAACTTTTAGACTCAAAACCTTTTTCCCAAAATGTCTTTATGCCAATACTAGTAAATTCATGCAAGCGGGATTTAGAAATAACTCAAATGGACTGGCCCTGTGTTATGGGGTTAAGGGAGCCAGATCCCTTGTGGACAGCTTCGGTTTGAATCCCAGCTTCAGCAGCTTGAAAAAAATGCTGGGCACATATATATAAGTGCCCTAAATCAAGAAAGGATGCAGAATGGAGGAGAAGGGATTACAGAGGGACCATGCTCCATTAAGGAATGATTCCTCTCTGTCTCTCTCTCTCTGTCTCTGATGAGTGTATATGCCCTCTAGCAGAAGTGGGAAAATGAAAAAACAAACAAAAAAAAGCCTTAACTGAAAAAAAAAAAAACCTTCATTTTTCAAAGCATGAGTTTATTATTATTATTTTGTATATCTGAGAGAGAGTTAGCAAGAAACTCCCTTGCCCACTCAATCCATATAACATTTCTGGTGCATTTGGACTCATGGCCAGACCACTGGGAGTGCATACTCCCAGTTAGGAAGAGGAAGACATGAGTTAGGAAGAAGCCTGTCGTTCTTCAAGTCTACACAATCAAAAACAGACTTTTCTAATAGAGCTGTTAAATTCAAACTTTAGCAAACCATATTTTGAGAGATGATATTTTCACCCAGGGATTTTAACCCATGGAACCACACAACACATTGACCCAAATACAAATAGAAGTCCTTTGTATGATTTTTGAAGACATTGTTTTGGATATTCCTTTTCATTTCACTTCTTTAAAAATTTTGCCAGAGAGCATGTGTGCTCAGTGGAGAAAGAGAGGGAGAAAGTGAGAAAGCACCTATCGTGGGTTATTATAACAGTACAGTCCCTTCTCCATTTCTCCCTTCTTTCGAGATTTTGTACACACACATATAGGTGCTTAGCATGGTTTTTCAAGCCACTAGGTCCAGGACTAGAACTGTGTAGTTAACCATGTAAGATCCAGTCACCTTAACCATCATGCCCTAGGCTGATCCTTTTTTCTTTTTTCTTTTTCTTTTTATTTATTTGTTGTTTTTTGAGAGGTTTCTGCTTTAGGGTGCATGTGCTCACCAGAAAGACAGAGAGAGACAGAGAGACAGAGAGCGAGAAATCACCCCCCAGGGAGGATGGCCATGCCACAATCCCTTCTCTTCTATTCTCCTCTCAGGATCTTGGGCACACACACACATGCTCCTGGTGTGAGTTTGGATCCGGGACTCTAACCATGGTCGACTATGGGAGTCCAGCAACATAGCCATTATGCTAACTGCTGGTCCCATTCTTTTTTCTTTTTAATCACATTAACAGAAGTTTGTCTAGTGCCCCAAAGCTTCTGGTGACAGAGAAAATTACTTTCTAACACCAAACCTTGGAACACCATCATCATAATCTATCAAATTACATGTCCTGGAATTAAAAAAAAAAACCTGATATAAATATTATAGATTTATGTCATATTTTATACATACATATAATATAAAATTATAGATTATTGATTCATACAATAGATTTCATCCTAGGCTCAAAGGTACAGAAAGATGTTTGTTTAGAGCTTATACATCCTCAGTATTAGTTTGGTTTTAGTGGACGAGAAAAAAGTAGTTTTTAAGTGTCATTTTTTTCCACAATGCAATTTAATGTACTTATCTGTTCTTCATAAAGATATTAGATGGTTTAAATTTTGTGCACAGGTGTGTGTGAATGAGATAGAGAGAGAAAGCAAGAACAAAAGAGAGAGAAGGTAACATTTCCTTAGAAGTTCTTTAATCCCAAAGCCTTCCTCTGAAGTATTCCCCCAAATTGTTTTTAATTTCTCCACATGGGATTGGGAAGCCAGGCACGTGGTACAGAGCTGAACTTTGTGTGGCTTGGAACTCACAAACATTAAAGTAGCGCATTTTTCTCAAGGAGGGCCTACCATCCCTGAAGAGGGGACATTTCCTCTACGATTTTGAACCAAACGTGGAGAATTTGGCAGCTAAGAGATTTCCCTTCAGAACTCAATGAAATAAAATAGCTGCTATCTCTTAATAGCAAGCTGCAGGTTTCCATCTGTTAGGAGTACTCCGATGACTTCAAAGGCCCATTCTTATTTTTGAGCCCCTTTTGAAAACTTAAAAGGACATAAATAACTTCAAGATGGTTCAATATTTATTTGGAAAACATGTTTTCCAAAGGCTCATTTAGCAAGTTGCTACTCTCAGAAGGGAAAGAAACAACAATGCCAATTTGATTTTTGCAGGGGATATCAGTTTCGTCCAGTCAGGGATGCATTGCCCTCCCCCTTTGGTTTCATCATCAAATTTTCATTGAGGTCCTACTATGTGCCACACACAGTGCTGTGCTGAGCTCTTTTTAATTGCTCTAATAAGCAGAAATCTTTAGACTCCAACTTGAAATTTACATCTATTCAGATAGCAATGAGACACAGATTTCTGGTCATTATTCAGTGGGTGCAAAGATACATAACTGACCAAACATGAATTCGTAGATTGCAAACCAAGGAAATTACTAATCCATTCGAAGCTTCTTGGGAACTCTGATGTCCCATGAAACAAGCCTACCCTTCCTGAGGCAAAGCAAGTTGAAGGAGCTTAGCCTTCCTTTGCTGCTGTTACTGACATTGTGAATGGTGTTTTAATAGCTGGTTGGCATCAGTGTCAAGGTCAGAGATGTCAGTCATGTTCTCATGTCCAAATCAGGCCACAATTACTGCCTGTTATTTATCATTTAACATCAGCAATCTGCTCAGCGAATGTATCCTTTAGTTTAAGTAAGATTTGTTTATTTTGCATACTGTTTTTTTCCCTTCCAAAATATGACCATCAGTATTTTCCATGAAAAATCAGGCTAAAAAATATAGTCATTCTGGCCAGCAGGTGGTATGGTGGTTAAGGCAGCTATATCCCACATAACTCACTGTGTGGTTTGAGTACTGGACCTGGCGACATGAAAATTATGCCAGGTGCATGTTCATGCATGCCCCAAATCCCAAGAGGATACTGGAGGAGAAGGGATTGTGACATGGCCAACCACCCAGGGGATGATTTCTCACTTTCCCTCTCTCTGTCTCTCTCTGGCGAGCTCACATATGCCCTATAGTAAAAACTGGAAACACACACATATATATATGTATATATGTATATATACATATATATATTTATATACACACATATGTATATATATATATATATATATCTATATATATATATATGTGTGTATATATATATATATATATACACACACCCACACACACACACACACATATATATACCTACACACATAAACAGTCATATTTGAAGTTAGTACTATCATATCACATAGTGTTAACAATATGTGATTGTTTAGGAGCATATTTTGAAGAGATATTTTTCTGATCATAAGTAAATTTTCATCTCCAAAATCATTTGATAAATTATTGTTTATTATTATAGACTTTTTAAAAATAACTATTCAGTAGATTTTTTAGAAGTCTTTCACTTTTTCTCTAATCAAGTAATTCTAAGCTAGCAAGATTTCACAATCTGAATAATTTTTTTGTTCCTCTTAGGGCCTAAGTTGATTTTGCAATCATACTGAGCTCTCATTAAATTCCCACTTTGTTTGAGATTGAGTTTGTGACCAATCATAAACACATTTCTTAGCCTTTCTGAGTCTCTGTTTTCTTGCCTGTTAGGTGGAAATAACAATGTCTGTCTCACTGAGTTGTAGTGAAAATTAAAAACAATTAGCATGGTGCCTGGCACAAAGCATATGTTAGGTGCAGGACAAATGTAGGTAAACGATAACAGTACAAATGGAATTAATGAGTTTTGGTTTTCACAACTGTAAAATCACAATCTCAAATTGTTGAATAAGCAACGATGATATTATTTTTTATTACATGAATGTCTACATGTACATCTAGAAAAATTAATTATTGTTTACCAATTCTCCATTCTTCTCTAATGTGGACACACCAAAAGATTGCACTCTCCTGAAAGTTAGGTTAAACTCTGTGATCAGTGTGGGCCGATGAAATAAAGATAAGAGTAATATGTACTTCTTAGGAGCTTTCTCAGTTTGTTTTGTGCTGCTAAACAGAACATCTGAGATTGGGCAATGCATAAACGAAAGAAATTAACTTCTTACAGTTCTGGAGGGTGTGAAGTCCAAAGTCAAGGCACCAGCATCTAGCAAGGCCTTTCTGCTGTGTCCTCCTTGGTAAAGAAGAAAGGACAAAAGGGAAATAAACTCCCTCCAACAATCCTCTTTATAAGGATGCCTAATCCCATTCATGAGGGACATACTGTCACAGCCTAACCAACTCTCAGATACCCCAGCCATATTACTGACCCATCGGTAACACCTGGAGTTTGGAAGACATACACACCCAAAGCATAGCAGGAGCTGTAGTACTTAATGCCTTGATGCTTGAAGCTGCACCCTTCATATCTTGCTGCAGTAATTGTGGAAGCAAATGATGACCTGGGGATGTTCCAGAATAAAGCAGTCTGGATTGCTGAGCCAGCCCATGGAGCATAGCTGCCCTGGGAAATTATCTGGGCCCCTCGTCAACTTTGGGTGAAAAATAAATGCTTGCTGTGCTGGTATTCTGAGATTGTTTATTGCTGAAGCATAACTAGCCTGTGCAGATAGACAGATTGCTCGATCGATTGATCAATCGATAAAATATAGATACAGTACAAAAATTATAGAAAAATAGTAGGAAGATGCCATTGAGTTGTTAGCA